TATATTTATTTATTATGCATACAGTGTTCTGCCTACATGTATGCCTGCAGGCCAGAAGATCTTATTACAGATGGTTGTGAGCCACCATGTGGTTGTTGGAAATTGAACTTGGGAACTCTGGAAGACCAGTCAGTGCTTTTAACCACTGAGCTATCTCTCCAACCCTGTGTAATTTTACTTTACAGGCATGTCTGCGTACCATGTAAGGGGGTATACAATTTCCTGGAATTGGAATTATAGACAGTTGTGAGCTGAAACATGGGTGCTGGGAATCGATATCCAGTCCTTCCATTTATTTATTTATTTATTTTAAAACAGACTCTCTTACTGAACCTGGAGCTCACAAATTAGCTAGACCCAGGCAGCCATTGAACTCCAGAGATCCAACTGTCTCCTCCTTCCCTGTGTGGGGATTATATAAGCCAGTTGTCCAATCCTTATGTGGGTACTGTGGCTCTGAGCTCAGGTTCTCATGCCTGTTCTTCAAGCACTTCTCCTATAGAGCCATCGCCCAAGCCCTGTGGCCCAGGGCTTGCTTGTGAAATGGTGATAAGTTTAGAGCTTTGTAAACAGCCCATGAGTTATGGTTGAAAATCACCAAATGCCCAGATGTGGACAGAGATGAATTTCCGAAGGGACACGGAGAGAATAAGAAACCACTGAGTTCCCATACACAGCTGGAGAGTGACACTGGTGAGGAAGGACATGGGGAAGAGGTTCCTCCTTGGATGGAAGCCCTGAGACTGATTACCCATTGGTTTATGTTTATTTTGATATAAGGTGGATTTGTAGAGAACACCCAACATTCACTTCTGGTGTCCATGCAGGGACAGGACAAGAATGCACACACACACATACACATGTGTATACTATGTAACCCTGGCTGGCCTAGAACTTGCTATGTAGACCAGGCTGGCTTCAAACTTGGAAATCTTCCAGCCTCAACCTCCTAAGTGCTGGGACTAAAAGTGTGTTTGACCAGGCCCAGCCACTTATTCATTTTGAAACAGGGTCTTAAATTCAGTATGTAGCTGAGAATGACCTTGAACTTCTGATCCTCCTGCTAGCACAAGCAAGTGCCACTGCATGTGGCTTACGTCATTTGAGGAAATGAATCCAGCAAGCACTCCACAACTGAGCTAGACTGTGGGCCCAGAGGACCCAGGATTGATTGTTAATCTGTGTTTGTGTATACCTGATCACCTCCTCAGAGCCCTGTGTGTGCCCACAGTGAGTGTGTGATTCCTGGCCCTATTCTTACCTTCCCATTACTGAAAACCTTTGGATTTGCCTACTTGAATGAAATGAAAGCCAGGGGGATCTTAAAGGAATGAGGATAGAGGGAATGGGAAAAGTGTAGGAATGTGTGTGTGTGTGTGTGTGTGTGTGTGTGTATGCCTATGCACTGAGTAAGTGTGTGACTGTGCCTGTGTGTATGTGTCATACACTAATGCCTGTGCCTGTGTGTTGTGTGTAGAAGTGCATGGTGAGCCTTGGTGCAGGCGTAGGGAGGAATTATTTCAACTCACTGTCTCCTGAAGCTGCTATGCTCTTCACAGCCTCCTCTCTGGTGGGGACTCTCAGCCTGAAGCTCTCCCTACCTTAGTTTCCTCTTTTTGTAAAGCCAAGCGATAAGGAGGGAGACAGTGCCCTCTAGTGGGAAAAAGACATACCGGCACAAACCAAGGTTCTAACAAATCAGGCAATGTCTGTCCCCTGAGAACTGAGGCCTGGCAGGTAGGAAAAAGATGTTCATGGGGCACCAAACAGAAAGGGAATCAATGGATGTAATTAGGAGAGGACAAGAGTTGAAGGTAGATGATCTCTTTGTTTTGTTGTTTGAACCAGGGTTTCTCTGTGTAGCTTTGTAGACCAGGCTCTCCTCAAACTCACAGAGATCTATCTGCCTGCCTCTGCCTCCTGAGTGCTGGGACTACAGGCATGTACTACCACTGCCAGATCATACCTAGCACTTATGTGGGGTTTTGTTGTGCACCACATCTGTCTGTCTGTCTATCTATCTATCTATCTATCTATCATCTGTCTATCTAGTTTGTATGCTCTGGTGTGTCAGCAAGTTCCTTTCCTGCCCTATCTTGACAGTCCACTTTTCTTTCTTCTTCTTCTTCTTTTTTTTTTTTTTTTTTTTTTTTTTTTTTTTTTTTTTTGAGACAGGCTTTCTCTGTAGCTTTGAAACCTGTCCTGGAATTTGATCTGTAGATCAGGCTGGTCTCGAACTCACAGAGATCCACCTGCCTCTGCCTCTGCCTCCCAAGTTCTGGGACTAAAGGCGTGTGCCACCACCGCCATGCAGTGCCAGTCCATTTTTATGTGTTTAGCCTTTTCTCACTTCTTTTTCCTTGATGTAGCCTGTACCTTAATCATTCCCTCTCAGGATGTGGACTGCCTCACATCTGCAATGCCTGGGTAGAGACTGGACCCTTCTGTCTGAGCCCTGGGCAGTCACTGTGCCCTGTGGAGTCAGGGAAGACTTCTTGTTGTAGGAATGTAATAATAGGGTATTGAAAAAGAAGTGGGGAGCTGGGCGTAGTGGCCATAAACCCAACTGCTTGGGAGGAGAGACAGAAAGACAGAAGAGCCCAGGAGTTCAGGGACAGCAATGCAGGGAGAGCTATCCTTAGGATGATCAGAGGGCTGGGACTGGAGAGCTGGCTCGGCAGTGGAGAGCACAGCGGCTCCTCTAGAGGACACCTGGTCCATCCCCAGCACCCACACAGTGGCTCTCCACCAGCTTCTGGTGGTCTGTGACTTCAGTTCCAGGGGATCTGACACCCTCTTCTGACCTTAGTGTTGTACACACTGTGGTGCATAGTCACACAGGCAGGCAAAACACCCATCGACATTAAATAAATAATAAATAGATAGATCAGAGAGACCAGACATGGTGGTGTACCTTTAATCTCAGCACTTGGGAGGCAGAGGCAGTTGGAGCTCTGTGAGCTCAAGGCCAGCCTGTTCTACATAGTGAGACCATGTTGAAAATAACAACAATAACAGTAATATAATAATGATGATGATATCATCAGAGCCAGCAAGATGACTCAGCAGGTAAAAGCACAGAGCCTGATGGCTGGAGTCTGATTCTGAGTGTGGAAAACGAAAACCAATCCAGGAAAGTTGTCTTCTGACCACCAGACTCCCAACCTCACACACACGGTAATAATAAAAAAGATGAGAAAAAATGAGTAGAAGCTAACCAAAAGTCCTGGGGACGTGGGTGAGCCTAGCGTGTCTGTGAGGCTTCTGGTAGCTGGATGCTGGATTGGGGGGCAGTATCAGAAATGAGGGGCTTTCTGTTATATGGGTCCATCTTAGGGGATTAGCTTTCTGGGAAGCACTGAGGAGTTTTAAGCAGGGAATTGGGCAAGGTCACGTGACATGAACTGTAGATAGGGACAGGGGAGGCTGAGAGGCCAGTTGCTGCCTGTCGCCCAGAGGGAAGAACAAATAGAACTGAGGTGTGTCTAGTGGCAGTGGAAGGCTGGAGAGGGGCCAGACCCCAAGGATTTTCTTCTGGGGCTTCATGTCCCAGCAGCGAAACTGAGACCCAAAGCTGCCCAGCAGCGAGCTCTTCTAGAACCCAGCACCCTGCCTCTCATCCCAACACATCCCAGGGTCTTTCCTGCACATGGAATAGTGTTGGAGTGGGGCTAGGCCTTAGAAACCCTAAGGAATGGGAAGGCCCAGGTGGACTTGTTCAGCCTCAAACTACTCCTGGAATTACTGAGAAAGAGTTAATCTGTTTTGTCTGCTTCCCTCCCTTCCCTCTCCTAGGTCACCTTCTTGGCCCTAGAGACCTAGCTGGTGGCTCAAGTTCCTCAACCAGTGGCCCTGGGCAATCAGGGCACAGAGAGGTCAGGAGTCCAGGGGTAGAGAATGGGACACAGACCTGAGAGAGCTGCAGGACTCAGGGGTCTGATGCTAGGGTTTGGGGGGAGCTCTCAGGCTGGCTCCTAACACTTCTCCTGCCCCAGAACCTTCTGTCTGCACAATAGCCACAAACTTCTCACACCCCCCCTTCTAAACTGGCTAGTTTTTTTAGGGTGTGTGTGTGTGTGTGTGTGTGTGTGTGTGTGTGTGTGTGGTGGAGGGTAGGGCAAGCTGTAGAAGGGTTAGAAGTTTCTGTCAGCAAGCTTTTCAGCTTCAAGAATCCCTCCCCCAATGCTGGGAACTGGTCAGAATTGAGTCTGTGGTCAGTGAGAAATTGCTGCTAATGGAACCTGGGCCACCCCACAAACCACAAAAAAGGGTGGGGGAGGGAATGAGACCTAAGTGTGGTGAGCTTGTGGGAAGGATGTGGGCCTAAAATAGAGTTGTAGGTCAAGGGAGAAAGGGAGTAAGGGACTAGCTGGAGGGGACTTATGGGTCAAGGGAGTGAGTGACTGCAGAGACACAGAGGCTGGGGAGGAATATAAACTGGAAAGTAAGTATCAAAGGAATAATTAGAGAGACCGGAGGGTAGGCTGGGGGATGCAGGGTCAAGGAAACAATAGGAATGATGATGGATGGGTGGAGAGGAATCAGAGATTTTCGTAGTGCCTATGCACTATGCACAGAGGGCCTGAGGCTTGGATATCCCAGAAGAAAATCTAGAGAAGAGTGAGGAAGAATAAGGCAGAAGGCAAAATTGGGATGCTGAGACTGATGGACGTGCCCAGGAGCTGTTGGAGGAAAGAGTGAGCATGTATGACCTGTAAGAGGGCAGCAACTGAGGTCATCCTGAGGAAAGGACTGCATTGGATGTCACCTCACCAAACTTTCCCAGGGACTTCACTTTGCTAAAAACCTTCCTCCACACTGGAACCAGTGCCAGGCAAAGGTCTTCAGCTCCCCTCCTCCCCTGCAGGCCTTCCTCCCCACTGCCATCAATTATTCATCGGCACAGACACTGTCCTCCCTCCCTCCCTCCCTGGCAGGGCAGTCTGGTCCTCCTCCCTGTGCCTGCCCCAGCTCAGCCACACTGCCACAGAGGCGCTGGTGAGGAAGGACAAACAGCTGGGCCTGGCCAAAGGGCTCCTTAGCTGGCCCTGCTGGACCACACCACAAGTCCCATCTGCTTCCTGCCGGCACCTTCCTCCTGTCCCTGGAGAAGATGCCCATCCAGATCTTTTGTTCTGTGTCATTCTCCTCTGGAGAGGAGGCTCCAGGACCCATGGGAGATATCTGGGATCCTCACCACCACCGGCAGCAGCAGGACAGCTCAGAAGAGGAAGAGGAAGAGGAAGAGAAGGAAAACGAGGCACTAAAGAGGGAGCCTGATGAGGGGGACTCACCTAGGGACTTGGTGGCCTTCGCCAACAGCTGTACCCTCCATGGTGCCAGCCATGTCTTTGTGGAAGGGGGCCCAGGGCCAAGGCAGGCCCTGTGGGCAGTGGCTTTTGTCATAGCACTGGGTGCCTTTCTGTGCCAGGTAGGGGACCGAGTTGCTTATTACCTCAGCTACCCGCACGTGACTTTGCTAGATGAAGTGGCCACCACAGAGCTGGTCTTCCCGGCGGTCACACTCTGTAACACCAACGCTGTGCGGTTGTCCCAGCTCAGCTACCCTGACCTGCTCTACCTGGCCCCCATGCTAGGGCTGGATGAAAGCGATGATCCTGGGGTGCCCCTTGCTCCACCTGGGCCAGAGGCCTTCTCTGGGGAGCCCTTTAATCTCCATCGTTTCTACAATCGCTCCTGCCACCGGCTGGAGGACATGCTGCTCTATTGTTCCTACTGTGGGGGTCCCTGTGGCCCCCATAACTTCTCAGTGGTGAGTAGGGCCCATGCTTAGCACAATACCCCAAAAGTATATGGCATGGCTTTCTCTGGCCATCAGCTCCTGGGGCAAGGGCTGGAAAATGCTGAAACCTGCCTGACCTGGACCAGAGCTTACCTGGGATCCCAGAGTCTGGAGCTGGACTAAGAGCCCCAGGTTCACAGCTCTTCCTGGTTGTGTCTTGAAACATGTCCCCATCGTAATTAGCTGCTGTTCTGTTGCCTGGATTAGTCTCTAGTCTCATCTGCTCTTTCCCCAGACTTCTTCATGGTGCAGCACAGTCCTGGGGCTTTGCTTTAGCTATGAACTCAGCCTCTGATCGGGGGTGGGGTGGGAGCTATGTTCTGGCCAGCTCTGGAGTGATGGTGGGAGGTCACCTCATCTCTAGAGGTGCAGAAAGGGTCACAGATGGAGGGGATAGCCCCCACCTTCATCCTCAACACTTTGTCAGCAGGGACACAGCAGGGACTTCATTGTATCCTTACTTTGTCTTCTGTGTCCTTCCCCATTGGGAGTTGACCCCCTACCAGCTCTGTGAGAGAGAGAGAGAGAGAGAGAGAGATGTGAGTGTGTGAGAGTATTGTGCGTATGTGTGTGTGTGTGTGTGTGTGTGTGTGCGTGTGTGTGTGTGTGTGTGTGTGTGTGTGATCCATCTGTTTGGAAAGTTGGGAACCCTCTAAACCAAAGCTCATGCTCCCAGCTCTGATTAAGTGGCCAGGACTTTCTTCCTGAAGGAAGCCATCATTAGAAATTGTCACCTTTCTCTTTAGTCTCCCCACCCAGAGGTGGAGGGACTTCCTAATTAGGAGCCACCTGCCATCCACCATCTTTCCAGTTTGACCTGCAGTTCTGCCTGGCCCCTCTGGTCCCTGCAGATTTCAGATGCCTGGCCTTTCTCCACATCACCCCTCTATGTCCTACCATGTAGGAACACGTGGGTGTTATCTCCGTCCCTGAAATGATTGTGACCTGGTGGTTTTGGCCACTGGGCTTCGGGAGGGCAGAAGATACAGGACCTAACAAGGAAGGTATCTGCTTTGAGGCCCTCAGAGCTTGAGAACACCCCAACATGCTATGCCTTGGTACTCAGTCCTGAGTCCTGGGGGAGGAGGTGATATGCCAAGTAAGTTTGGTTCTTGGCACGGCATCTGTGTCTGCTTTCAGGTTCTAGTGATAAGGGAACAAAGAAAAAGGTGGCCATGAGAGGCTGATAGCAGAAAGAAACTAAAGGGCTTAGCTTTGAGGGGCTTAGATATGGAGGAGGGTCTTGGGAGAGGACTTCTAGCTCAGGTTGAAATCCCAAAGCGAAGATCTAAAGATCTACTTCAGAGGGCCTCAGAGGTTATAGGATCATGGTGATGGAGATGTGTATGTAGGGTCCTAGCAAGAAAAAGATTGTCTCTTGATAGTTCAGTTGAAAAGACTTTAACAAAGGGGCTGTCTGCAAAGCTGTGTGGAAGATGAAGGAAGCCATGGGACCAAATCCTTATCACTTCTAGGCTGAAGGTGCACAAAGGGAGTCCTGGAAGGGCTACGATCATGGAGGGTCTAAGCCATTGCCAGTGTCACAGACAGGCCAGGAGAGGGGACCAGAGCCCCCTCTCTGTCTCTCTCTGTCCCTGTCTGTCTCTGTCTCTCTCTGCCCCTGTCTCTCTCTATCTCTCTTTCTCTGTCCCTCTCTCTCTCTCTCTCTGCCTGCATTTGATCCCCTGTATTTCCCACTGGTTAAGCCCACCAGAAGCCTATCTGGACTCTCAAGCTCTGTGCTGCCTTCCACCAGGTCTTCACACGGTATGGGAAGTGTTACACATTCAACTCAGGCCAAGATGGGCGGCCACGGCTGAAGACCATGAAAGGCGGGACTGGCAATGGCCTGGAGATCATGCTGGATATCCAGCAAGATGAATATCTGCCTGTGTGGGGAGAGACTGGTATGTTACCCTGCTCAGGAGCCCCATCCACGGACCCTAGACTCAACTGGGGCCCCACTGTGTGCCCCTGATGCCAGGCTCAGACCCTTCCCCTTTCTCCCAAGATCACTCCATGTCTGTCTTTGCTTCCATGTGACTTCCACACTCTCCATTTCCTGGCTCCCCCTTCCTGGTTCAGTCACTCTCCAAGGTAACCAGCATCCTCTTCCATCAGTGGCCACCACTCACTCTATAAATATCTCCCTCTCTTCTTGGGCTGCCTGCTTGTCTGGTCTCAGGGGACTTAGGGGCAGAGAGATGGGGAGAGAGAAAGGGATGAGGAGAAATGGAGTGGCTGAGACAGTGGCACTCCAGAAGAAATAATCTGAAACACCAAGATACATCATAGACATCAGGTAAGAAAAGATATATGTAGGATGCAGAGGTCACTGGAGCACTACAGAGCTGCTAACATAGGAAGCTAGAAGTGTGCTAGAACCCCAGAGCCTCCTCACCAAGTCCCAGTTGAGACTGCTTATTATCAGGGGAGTTATGATGCCCCAGGCTCTGAAGATGATCAGATACTTGGAAACCCTCCCGACTCACACATCTTTATCTTTACAGACGAGACATCCTTCGAAGCAGGTATCAAAGTGCAGATCCATAGCCAGGATGAACCTCCTTTCATCGACCAGCTGGGCTTTGGCGTGGCCCCAGGCTTTCAGACCTTTGTGTCTTGCCAGGAGCAGAGGGTGAGGGGCTGCAGAAAGCTGCTTCTGGGGTTGTATGCTGAGGAGTCAAGATGGGGTTCTGGGGAACTGGGAAGATGGCTCAATGGGTAGTGTTTATTATACAAGCATGAGGACCTCAACTGAGATTCGTAACACCTGTGTAAAAATCAGGCAGTACATACCTGTAACCCAAGTCTGGGCTGGGGTGTGCAAACACAGGTGGATCCTTGGGGCTAGCTGGCCAGTAAGGCCCAGGTTCAGTAAGAGATCCTGCCTTTCAAACAATACACAGAAAGAAATCCAATATCTACTTCTACTTCTGAGCTATGCATGGGGGGCAGTCATACTCACGTGCAAAACACACACACACACACACACACACACACACACGGGGGGGGGGTGACCGAGAATGGAAGAAATACTTCATAGACTAAGACCTTTAGAGGTGCAGGGATACAACTCCTGAGTTCTGTATCTTGCCAGAGAAGTCCACTAGGTGAGTTGGGGGAGAAGTCCCCACACTTCCCCAGCTCGCCGGCTCTCCCAGCAGCTCATCTACCTGCCCTCACCCTGGGGCACCTGCAATGCTGTTACCATGGACTCGGACTTCTTCGACTCCTACAGCATCACCGCCTGCCGCATTGATTGTGAGACACGCTACCTGGTGGAAAATTGCAACTGCCGTATGGTACACATGCCAGGTCAGGCCCCAAGATTCCAAGCACAGTCCTGGAACCTCAGGCTGCACTGCCCCTCACCTGTATTGGTCCAGCTGTATTGGCCTCCCTACCCCTGGTCCCAGATCACTCTGTTTTCTTATCTTTCTGGCTCCTATCTCTCAGTCCCTGCCTATATCTACAGAAAGGGATAGAAGGGTCTAGAAGGGGTGGAACTGTGAGAGTAGGTCACTTCCAGTGTACTAGGGATGACTACTCCTACTGCCCCATCTTCCAGCTTCCTCCTTATACAGTACTATGCCATCACAAGACCCCTTTAATCTCTCCCTGTCCCACCTTCTCTCCTTTGTAGGGGATGCCCCATACTGCACTCCAGAGCAGTACAAGGAGTGTGCAGATCCTGCCCTGGGTAAGCACCTGACCTGGGGCACTTAGAGGGAGGGAAGAAAGTACTGCCTGCCTCATGCACAGGGGACTAAGATCAAGGCTGAACCTCTGCATTAGGCTGTGCGTCCACCAGCAGCAGTCTCTAAATGCTGAGAACTGTACCATCAAAGGTCCTGTGGAGAATTAGTAAGGGTCTCTTGGGAGGGGCCTTCACCCTCTTTCAGCCTGAGAGTTGGTCCTTGAGAACCCTGAGGGAATGACTCATGAGAGAGAGGCTGGGTGAAGATGAGCTAAAGTTAGACACAGGGCTGAGGCGAAGGAGAAGGGACCCTAGGGATCCTTTGGGCAGGGCCAGTGTGTCCATGTTGAGAAGGTCCTGGCAACTGGTGCCTCCTCACACGGGCACAGACTTCCTAGTGGAGAAAGACCAGGAATACTGCGTGTGTGAAATGCCCTGCAACCTGACACGTTATGGCAAGGAGCTGTCCATGGTCAAGATCCCCAGCAAAGCCTCAGCCAAGTACCTGGCCAAGAAGTTCAACAAATCTGAGCAGTACATAGGGTAAGGACTTACCTGTGCAGGGCAGGCCCTTGTGCAAGGACTGGAGAGGGTATGAGTGACTTTTAACGGGAGTCTCACAGGCACAAGGGAGTGGAGAGAATTTACAGAAAGTCCAAGAGGCAACCAACGAGTGCGGGTTGTATGTGGGGAGATCAAACTGGAATAAGTAATGCAAGCCCTCTTCCCCCCATCTTCTAGCTCCATCTTCCTTGCTCTAACTGGAGTTACCTCCCAGTTACCAGCATGCAATGTGTCTTTTCATACATGCCATTTAATTGAATCCTCACAGCACCTCTAGAAGGCAGGATCTCCTTTAGGAGTATGGAAACAAACATGCTAAGATTACATGTCTGGTAAGGGGCAGAGACATGACTTGAACCTAGCTCTCCTCCTCTCACTCCTGCATAGGGAGAACATCCTGGTGCTGGACATTTTCTTTGAAGTCCTCAACTATGAGACCATCGAGCAGAAAAAGGCCTATGAGATCGCAGGGCTCTTGGGTGAGCTTGTGAATGGCACCTATGGCTGGGACATGACATGGCCCCCTTCTACCCAGTGATTAGTGCTCCCGGTGCATCCCATCCTCAGGGGTCTTTCCCTGAGCCCTCCCTCTAGTGTGGCATGACATGGAGGAAGGGCAGGGCCGTCTCTCAGGACAAAGTGGAAAAGACAAGCTAGTAGGTCAGAGGAAGGGGCTGAAGGACAGAGCAGAAACTTTCACATGTCCTTGAAAGTGGACTGGATGCTAAGCAAGTAGTGCATTATAAAGACTTCATTCTCTCTCTGAATAATAACTACTCATTTTGGAAAAGTAGGAAAATACAGAAAAGCATAAAGAATAAAAACACTGATCCTTCTGTATCAAGGTGTTGATCTCTGCAAACATGGCTGGCCTTCCCCAGTCCCATTGAGCCTCATTGCCCCTCTGCCCTTGGTGCCCTGAGCCCACTAACCTCTCCAACCTGACCCTGCAGGTGACATCGGGGGCCAGATGGGGTTGTTCATCGGGGCCAGCATCCTCACAGTGCTTGAACTCTTTGACTATGCCTATGAGGTAAGGGGGGGCTGGGCTGGGCAGGGCTACTCGGGGTTGGGAGTTCCAGTCCACCCAAGCTGCCCCTACCTCTCCCAGGTCATTAAGCACCGATTGTGTAGACGAGGGAAATGCCAGAAGGAGGCCAAGAGGAGCAGTGCAGATAAGGGCGTAGCACTCAGCCTGGATGACGTCAAAAGACACGTGAGGGAGCAAGGCACGGGGCACCCTCTGGCCTGCCCCTTCCCCCAAAGCCTCACAACAATCCTGTCTCCATGCTACCTTTTTACCTGCAGCCTTCTCTGTAACCTGTCCCTGTCTTGTTTCCCTCCGCTAGAATCCCTGCGAGAGCCTCCGGGGCCATCCTGCCGGGATGACATACGCTGCCAACATCCTACCTCACCATCCCGCTCGAGGCACATTTGAGGACTTTACCTGCTAAGCCCCCGCAGGCCAATGTACCAAAGGCCTAGGTGGGGAGGGCTAGGAGAACAAGGGGCCCCCAACTGCCCCCGTCAGCCCCGAGGACTCGACTGCTCTCTTGTGCAGTGGTTCCCTCTTGCCTGGTGAGAAAGGAGACTTCACCATGGTCCTCTCCCTGCCTCTGCCCCATCTTTTTATTTTAACAAAATTAAACTAATATAAAAAGAGAGAAAGAGAGAGATCCAGCCAGGACCTCAGGCTGCCCCTCTCTGCTCCATGCTGCCTCCCCTAGCTCCAAGCCTGAATTCTGTCTGTCTGGCTGTCTGTCATCTGAGTGTCCACCTACATTCTGCTGCCACCAGTCACCAAAGCCCCCTCCTAGTGAGGGGTGGAGGGGATCTCTAGGGTCTGAAATTTGACCCCAAACCAGAGAATGTACCATAAGGGAGAGGGCTCGTGAGGGGGCTTCCCTAGCCTTAAGAGACTCTCTCAGCCCATGACTCCCCACAAGCCCAAGTCTCCAGGTAAGAACTAAATGCCCTCAATCACACGGAATCACTAGGGGGTAGAGGATCTTGTGAAGAACTAGACACAGAACTCCATGTGGCCCTGGTGCTGTCGGCCACATCCCAATATCTGTTAGTCACCTCCACCCCAAAGCTGCTGGAGAAAAGTCCTAAGAGGCAGCCTTCCTCTCTATCCCTTATGATACCTGGCTGGCAATTAGCTTCCAGCTCGGGGAGAGGGTACCGGGGCCTGACCTCCCTGGCTTCTCTCTCAGGGGCCTTTGCAGAGGGCCACATCCATAAATTTTCTTATGGACCGCTCCTCTTCCCCGCCTTCATTTGCTTCTCTTGACAACCTCATCTGCATTTTCTATTTCTATATGATACAGACTCTATATTGCTATATCTCTGTATATACTTCCCTCCAACCCTGTTTGTCTCCAGCGCTCCTTCTCGTCTCTGAGAATCATCCTCCCCACCCAAGTGTTCCCTTTTGTTTCTACCCATTCCCTGTCTCTGAATGCCTTTGCCTGTATAAAGAGTTGGACTCCCCCCTGGTGTCTGTACTGTGTACACACATCCCTTCGAGAAGCACAAGGAGACGACACGCGCATTGTAACCTTCGCACTGTCTCGGTGGCGACATAAAGGAAGCTGTGAATTACAAGCTCTGCCTCTTTCTGGCCTCACCCTTGGCCCCCACAACCGGGGCACCCTCTGCCCTCCCCACAGCCTTAACATACCCTCTTCCTTGTCCCACCTATCTATCCCAATGTCCTTTGCCTGGCTGACCATGGCCTCCCTGGGGGAAGGGACTGCCGAGGAGGTAGTGCTTATCCAGGAAGGGAGCTATGCTAGACACTAAGCCAAGAGCGTTAGAGACAGAGGAGGCTGGGGATTGGTGACTCTTGCAGCTGGGGCAGTGGGTACCCACAGACAGAAGCTGAGGTCCTCATTCAGGGGCCTTTCTCTTCTCTGGGTGTCCAGTGTCCCTTCCTCACTTTGATATCCAGGCCACCACTTGTATGTTCTGGTGAGGCAGGGTTTGGTCATGTGAGGAAAGAGATAGGCCTAGAGGAGGAGTTGAGGGCTCTGCTGTTGTGTGTCCCTACCTTAAGGGACCACAAGTTGAGTTAGAGGCCCTCCCCACCCCTACCAGGCACTCTTCCCAGGCCAGAGCCCCAATCCCTTTCCAGGACTTCTCTGCCCGCACTGTCTCTTGGGCTCTAATCCCCAAACAGGACTTGAGGGCAGATCACCTATGTGCGTTGGACTGGAGCCAGAGAGCGAGGCTATAGCATCTCTGAGAATTCTTGGTTCCCTAGAGTTCTGTAAACAGCAGACCTCCCCAGAAGGAAGCAGGGGCATGAGAAGTGTGCACCACCGGCTGGGGGACGGCAGGCGGGGCTCTGGGTGACGCATGCCTCTGGTCTAATAAACTGGGTTTCAACCATCTCCTCTCCAGTGTTGTTCTTTTTGGTTGAAGAGTTTATAGGTATTACCATTAGAATATAGGTATTACCCTTGAGGGCCATGTTGACTAGAGTAAGGAATTTGAGTGGTGGCTACACCTGTAATTCCAGGGAGATGGAAGCAACGATCTTTCATTACAGAGTGAGTTTACTACAAGGTTGGGCTAAATGAGACCCTACATATTTGATCAGGTAAACACTGATCCTCCTAGAAAAGGGCAGGTTCAGGATAGTTTGGATCACTGGGCAGTGAACGAGCAAGGTAATGAACGGCAACAGATTTCCAGGAGACTTTGGAGAGGATTCAGGTCAAAATTCATTAATATCTGAAGGCAATGGTCTGAGACGAAGGGTGAAGTTCCCGCATCGGATTGAGCCATTATCTGTGAAATGAGAACCGGCTACCAGCCAAAAAACCAGAATCCAGGATGGCTTTTCTTTTAACTTAATGGTTTGTTTTTGCCAAGAAATTTCCCTCCTTTGAGTTCAGTTTTTTCGTTTGTAAAACGAATAAACGGCGTGTTTCTCTCTTTAATACCCGGAGTCCGAGCAGTAGGAGAATAGAAAGCAAAGCAAACAGAATGCTTTGGGGAGGTAAAAGCACTATGCTGAGAAGCCACAGTCTTCAGCCTGCGGGGTGCGCTAGTCTCTTTCCAACGCCTTGTCGTCCTCCTCCCGCTTGGAGGCGCCCGCTCCCGTCACCTCTCTATCCGCACATCGCTTCTCTATGGTGCCCCTCCTGGACCGCGAAGGCGGGAGGGAGTGGTCAGCACGCCTTTTCCGCTAGTTGCCCCCTCTAGCCCGTAGTCTCGCTGCCCCGAGCCGTCCGTGCCCGCCGGCGGGCCGGACCCACAAACAGCCCAGGCGCTCGGGGGGCGCGCGGGGGGCGGGGGGAGTTCCGGTTCCGGTTCTTTGTGCAGCTGCAGCGGCGGCTCCGGGAAGATGGCGGCCCGGGCGGGTTTCCAGTCTGTGGCTCCGAGCGGCGGCGCCGGAGCCTCGGGAGGGGCAGGCGTGGCGGCTGCTCTGGGCCCAGGCGGAACTCCCGGGCCTCCCGTGCGAATGGGCCCGGCGCCGGGTCAAGGGCTGTACCGCTCCCCGATGCCCGGGGCGGCCTATCCGGTGAGTGGGGCAGGAGGAGGGGCGCGTGGGCCGGGGGCGGGGCCGAGCGAAGGCGGAGGACTGACAGGGGTGAGGGAGAAGTGGGAGGGACTCCCTTGGGAGGGACTCGGGTCCTGGATGGAGGTGGGGGGAAGCAATACGGAGGAAGAGCGGGGTGGGGGGGAGGAGGTTAGCATCCTCACCTGCTCCCAGCGGCATTGTTTGCTTTTGAGGAGTGAGTGTGGAACCAGGGTGGGTGAAGAGGGCCCGGGATGGGCAGCTCAGTGTCCAGAGGAACACCCAAGTTAGAGCTGCACATTGAGAAGATAGCTAGCTGAGTAAAGTAAATGTAGGACTAGAGATGTCTGGTGAGTCAGATCCAACATAGATCAGAAAATTTGAGTCTAATCTGGTTTTAGACCCTATATTCTATGAAACCACTACCAGGCCTGAAGAAGGTCCAGTTACCAAATTTCAAAGAGGCAGAAAGAAGGCTGTGTGATTGGCCTCCACCCTACCTTTCCCACGCCTGTCCTTGCTCGGTTCCAAAAATTCAGGCTTCCATCACTTTTCATTTCTTGGTGGGACTGTAAAGGAAAGGTATGACATCTTGGGGTCCTCTCCCTTCTGTAGAGACCAGGTATGCTGCCAGGCAGTCGGATGGCACCTCAGGGACCTTCCATGGGACCTCCTGGCTATGGGGGGAACCCTTCAGTCCGACCTGGCTTGGCCCAGTCAGGGATGGACCAGTCCCGCAAGAGACCTGCGCCTCAACAGATCCAGCAGGTCCAGCAGCAGGCGGTCCAAAATCGAAATCACAAGTAAGACGAACCCCTGGGTGAAGGAAGGAAGCCACTTGGAGGAGGCCTGTGAGGATGCAGGTGGTGGGAGTACTGAACCAGGAAATGGTGCTATATCACCAAACGGTGCTGCCCAGTCAAGGCTTCCTGGGGTCCTGGTGGAGGTGGAGAGGGAGTTGTCGATGGTGATGGGACAGTCGTTTTACAGGCCTTAGTGCTATCAACGAAGGTGCTGACAGTTTAGCTCATGTCTGACAGTTCATCCCGCCCTGATAACTGTATATATTCCAAACAGTGCAAAGAAAAAGAAGATGGCTGACAAAATCCTACCTCAAAGGGTGAGTGCAGGCTCTAGAGGTCTTCTTCAAGATGTAGTGGCTGAGAAAAAGTACAAGTGATCAGCTCTAGGGTCCAATCATATCTTTCTGTTCCTAAGATTCGGGAATTGGTACCAGAATCACAGGCCTATATGGATCTCCTGGCTTTTGAAAGGAAACTGGACCAGACTATTATGAGGAAACGGCTAGATATCCAGGAGGCCTTGAAACGTCCCATCAAGGTAACACAGGAAAGCACTAGGCATTGGGTCAAGGGAGGAAATAGGAACCTTCTCCATGCTTAGGATGAAAAATCAAAAAGCACAGCACAGCTCTCCTTGGCATTTAAATTGTATCTTTCCCTTCCGCCTACAAACAGGAATTACATTAGGAGTATAAGTGTAGAACAGCTGGCAGGGAAAGGGGCGGGGGAACTTTTGATGTCTCTTGCACCAGAAATATACCCTGTCCTTGTTTTTGCTGTAACTACTTGCTACCTTGGGGACCTGCCACTCTGTATGATTTTCTCTACCTGGTGTCCCAGCATATTTATTTATGCTCAGGCTCAGGGCCTGTATTCTTCTAAGTGGAGTATTTATCCACCTGTCATAAGCCAGCCTAGAAAACCTTTGTCTTTAACATCATACTACTGAAGCCCCATCATCAATCTGTTTCTGCCTTCCTCAGCAAAAACGGAAGCTGCGAATTTTCATCTCTAACACTTTCAATCCGGCTAAGTCAGATGCAGAGGACGGGGAAGGGACAGTGGCTTCCTGGGAGCTCCGGGTAGAAGGACGGCTCCTGGAGGATGTGAGTTGAAGGTCCTCTGTGTTGATGTTGTGTTCAGGGCAGGAGCTCTTGTTGATGAGCAATGTTGTGTGGTCAGCAGGAAGCCTGACTGGTGCTCATAGTTCCTGCTGGGAGCTTCCGGAAGCAGGGGGGTTGGGTGGGGGAAAGACCCTGTATTCCCTGCACACAAAGACAATGGTCCTTTGTATCTGCTCCCACAGCCTCACTGGTATCAAATGGAAACCATTATTGTCCTAGGATCTGAGTGGATGTTTACTCTGTCTGGTGATGCTAGCCTTTGGATTTAGCAGCATCTGCAGATTATTTCAGTAGTCCCTCATCCCCACCTCCTGAGTATATGCTTAGCATTTGAGGCCATGTTCCCTGAGGTTATCTCTGTTTTCCCATGGAGATAGCACAGTTTTAAGTATGATAGAAGTCTCCAAAGGCTTGGCTCTTTGTTGCTCCAAGGGGAATATCAGCTCAGTGAGAGCCCCACACTTCCCACCCAGCAGCTCCTTGGGGAGGCTCGCTTTTCACTCATCCCCTGCTCTCTGGCGCTATTTTTAACCGCGTGCAGGTGAGATCGTTTGAATGTATTTTTGCAAGAGAATCAGTATCTCCTGTGCGTAGGTCCAGTCTGTCTGCTGTCATGTCTTTGTTCTGCTACTTTTGCCTGTGATTCATTCATTCATTCATTCATTCATTCCCCCTCTGCAGTGGGGTTTTTCTCTGTTCAAGTGTGCTTTGTTATGTTAACCTGTTTGGCTTAACCTGCTCTCCACAGTGGTAAGTTAGAGGTCCTGTCCTTATTACAGTGCTGCTGCTACCATGGCTGACTTAATGGCCAGCCACCTTGCCATATTCAGAAGATATTTTTGAGGTTTTTCCCCATTGGGGTTAGAAATTCCTTTTTAAAGAACTTTGTCTTGGGGACTTCTTTCTGGCCTCTTCTAACATGACACCTTCCATCTCTTTTCTAGTCAGCCTTGTCCAAATACGATGCTACCAAGCAAAAGAGAAAGTTCTCTTCCTTTTTTAAGTCCTTGGTGATCGAACTGGACAAAGACCTCTATGGGCCAGACAACCACCTGGTAGAAGTGAGTCGTTCTGCCTTCCAGGCTTTAATCATATTGGGGGTGATGGCCAAACTTGAACATCTAGGGAAAGAGGGAGGAATAAAAGAAAGGATTAGCCTAGGTGTGCATTTCCACCTTTGCAGTTTGCATATTGACCTCTAGGTGGCGCTAGCTGTACTTAGTTGGGACACAAGAACTCTTGCAATCTGACTTGACCCACCTGACCACTGCCCCCAGAGAAAATTCCGATGGAGTCCTCTTACACTTCGGCTATCTCTGCATCTTGCTTATAAGTATTGGTGGGCTGTAGTTCCTGACACGTTGTGTTTTCCTGATAGCTGTTGCTGTAGTTAGTGGGTGGACTAATAGAGTACTAGTGTTTGTCTAGGGTCCTTTACATTTATATTTCTAATAGCCAGAGATCCATTATAACACCTGGTTGTACAGTGTTTGGAGACTGTTACCAACAGTGTTTGGGACACAAACCCAGAATAGTCTAGTGTTCCGTGTGAACTTAACCTGCCCATTTCTTTACCACTGTAGCTGCAGCCCCTTAACCTCAACCACTAAGAGACATGGGAAGGGCTCTGCCATCTAAAAAGGGAAGTAAGTCGTAGAGTCGATAGAAATCTGTAAAGATGCTTGACTTTGTAGCAGTAGAGTATCGTGGCTAAGACATACCAGAGCTTGGCTCCTTATGTATTGACATCAGTGGATTGCTTCCTCCTCCCAGGTAGCACTTTCCTCATTTTAAGAGGGGTTTAATCACACCTGCTTTCAGTGGATGTTTGGGAATTAAATGGTCATCCAGGTAAATGTCATTCATATATATACATACATACATACATACATGTATGTATGTATACACACACACACACATACCTACCTACATTCATGTAGGTATGCATTTTGAAGCTGCCTTAGGTTTCTGTTCCATGTATATTATCTATTTATTGGTAAACTTATCTCTGGAAATTGAAGCCATTTTTAATGCAGTCATCACAAACAGTTAGAACTAACAGGTTCTGCTTACACAGACAGTAACTTCGTCTTACAGATGCCTCATGCTATTGTGTTCCCCAGTAGCCTCCGTAGGCAAAGTTGAATGTTGAGTCATTACAGAAGCTCTTCCCTCCCACCCCAGCTCTTCCTCTGGAAGAGCACCCCTGACATCTTCCTCTCTGTAGTGGCACAGGACCGCCACTACCCAGGAGACCGATGGCTTCCAGGTGAAGCGACCAGGAGATGTGAATGTGCGGTGTACTGTCCTGCTGATGCTGGATTACCAGGTATTTGGAGTTCACAGCCACATCTAATGAGAGTTTGCTCATCTAGGATCTAAGTGTGCTCGTGAGTGCTTTGCCACTATAGTGCACTAAGAAAGAACCGTTTTTCTTTGTCATCTGAGTTCTTTCTGTAACTTTACTACCCAGACTTACTAGTATTTGTTAGATTGAATGTGTCACCATACTAAACACCCCAAAGTGCATATGGAACCAGCTTATTAGCTTCACCTAGGTTCTATACTCTTTGGTTCTCTGCAGCCTCCCCAGTTTAAATTAGACCCTCGCCTGGCTCGGCTCTTGGGCATCCATACTCAGACACGTCCCGTGATCATCCAAGCACTGTGGCAATATATTAAAACACATAAGCTGCAGGACCCTCATGAGCGAGAATTTGTTATCTGTGACAAGTACCTCCAGCAGGTATGTAAAGGAAGGGCACATTCTATTGTGAGGGTCTAGTTGCATTGAAAGTACCAATCAGGTGCTACCTCTGTCTCACAGATCTTTGAATCTCAACGGATGAAGTTTTCAGAGATTCCTCAGCGGCTCCATGCCTTGCTTATGCCACCAGAACCCATCATTATTAATCATGTCATCAGGTGAGCCTTCATCTGAGACGATGTGGTGGCTGGAGCCACCTTGGACCAGCTTAAACAACCTGTTGTCAGACTGCCGGGGGTCTTGTTCGACATAGTTGCTATTTAGATTTAAATTACATAAGCTTATATCAAAAGTGGGAGTGATATGAACTTCTGCTTGCCTGTTGTTCATTAACCTTTGCAGATATATGCCCTGCAGATTACTGTGTCTTGTGTGGTTGCACTGTTTTCTCCTTGGTTAATGCTGGAATATTAGTGGCTAGAAATCAGCCAGCGCCGTCATAGTAGGGCCCGATCCCCCTTGGAGACTTGATTACCAGCTTGTCATTGTGGGAGGAATTAGCGACTATCATTTTAGGAAGGATGGGGCCTCCAGATGGTGTTTTTTTGTTTTTTTCTTTCTTTCTTTTTTTCTTAATTTGGACGTTGGAGAGCTAGGTATCTCTAGACAGCAGCATGCCCTGTCATTAAGTATCAGCTCCTTGCCTTTTTTGCCTTGTTCCATGCTACGTAGTATGTAGTATGTGCTTCCTTAGTCTGTAAACCCCTCAACCTGTAGTCACTCTACAGCCTGTGTTTGTACATTGTGTCTACACTGGCTGTCCAGACTGGATCTGTATGTAGACCAGTCTGGCCTTGAGCTCAGAGATCTGCTACCACCCTCCACCCCTAATTCTGGGATTAAAGGCATGCATCGCCACTGTCCAGTTTGAATTCCTGTTTTTAAACTTTTCACAAAATATCTTTGGTGATATTTGAATTTTACCAGTGACTTTATAAAAACCAAACTGAGACAAGCAAGGTGCCTCAACAGGTTAAAGGTGCTGACTGTCTGGCCTGATGACCTGGCATCAGTTTCTTGAACCCATGTGATAGAGAGAGAGAACTTACTCCCACAGATTGTCCTCTCACCTACATAATAAGTAAATAGAATAAAACCCCAATTTAGTGACTTACAGTTAGTATATTTAAAGTGCAGACATTTGGAGATGCATACTTCATACAGCTCTCAGAGGAGGATGTAGAGCATCTTCCTTTTCCCTTTATCCCTGGACCATATTTCTGACCTTTGGCAAGCAGGTCTCAAAAAAGCTCTTTACTAGACCCTGCTATTTTCTCTCCAGTGTTGACCCAAATGATCAGAAAAAGACAGCTTGTTATGACATTGATGTGGAAGTGGATGACACTTTGAAGACCCAGATGAATTCTTTCCTGCTGTCTACAGCCAGCCAGCAGGAGATTGCTACTCTAGACAACAAGGTAGGGGTCTCTGTTCCATCCCTTAGTCATGGTTTCTAGCTGCCTTTTGGTTCTTGATTTTAACTAAAAATATATTGATATCCAGAACCATCTATGTCAGGCTTTCACTGTGTTAAATGCATGAATGCATTTAATTTTGACCATGTTGTGTTTTAGCATTTTGAGTCAGTCTCTTCCTTGTAGGCTAGGGTGGCCTCAAATTCATGGTGATACTCCTATGTCATGTTCCATAGTGCTGGGTTACAGATAGGAGCCACTGTGCCCAGTTTGGGCAATACCTTTTAGTGTCATTGAGCCTCAGTTTCTGGTCTCTGAAATGAAGACTATGTATGATCCTGCTTTTATATGGTTGCTCTTGTATGAAACAAGATTATGTTTTTAAAGATTTGAGCTTATACCCGGCATATGACTTCCTCTGTTGTTCATGCTGCCACCATCATTACCATTAACCCTGTAGGCATAGTCCCTGCAGGCAAAGCCAAAGTGCTCTTTGTAAACACCGTAGATAACTTAGGGGCTTCCCTGGGAATAGACATCTCAGTTAAACTTTGAAGGATGGAATGGAAGTTAATAGATGAGGGGGGGGGAGCAAAATGGTGTTTGGGGTGTGGAAGGCAGAGGACAATCCAGAGAATAGGGTAAGGATTGTAGGAATCCAAAGAGGAGAATGAGCCTGGTGTGTTCCCAGAAATACAAGCAAAGCCAGGCATGGTGGTTCATTCTATAACCCTGGCACTTAGAGGCAGAAGCAGGAAGCACCACAAATTCAGGGCCAGTCTTGTGTATATAATGAGCTCCAGGCCAGCTAGGAGTGCAGACTTCCTCAGAACCAGCAAATCAGAAGTGCAGAGCTCTCCCATGTCATGTGTCATGCTTGACCATGACATGATGTACCTGCTGGGTGCGATGTTCAGGGAGAGGAAGCTACAAGAGAACCTGGTCAGACAGCTTTGGTGTGGAGAGAACTTGTGTATGCCTCCTGCAGATGAGACAAGGAGCCTGGTAGAAGCCTTCACCATGGAGGTACTAATGCTGTTCCTGTTGGTGGATAGGTGGAGAGGGTTAAGAGGGGCAGCTCTGGAGCAAGTCTAGTTTGGAGGTGAGACTAATAGTCTGTCAGGTTCCACAGTAAAGGCTCAGACAGGGAGGGTAGAGTTAGGATTTGAAAGTCAAAATGAAATGAAGGGATGTACCCTCTGTTTGGCTGGGGTTAAGAGAGAAGACATGGCTTGGGTGGAGAGTAGTCTCCACTAAGATTGGAGAGGAGGAATTAGGGGAAGCATAACCAGTTTTATTTGGGAGATTTCCCTTTAGGGTGTCTTGAGATGCCAAGAAAGCATGTGGATTTGTTGGAACATGGCAAACAGACTCTGGACTGCAGTGACTAAGTAGTCACAGTTTGTAGTGGTGCATATTGAATTGAATAGAAGAACAACTTCCCTTAGCTGGGATAGAGAAGCAAACACAGGACTTTCTGAAAGAAAGCCAAGGGTGAGGGCACCTGGTGGACTCGGCAGCAGGCCCTGCACCTGGGGTGGGAGCAGCTGTGGCAATGTCAGCCTTGGTCTGCCTTTAGCTTGGAGTTTCCCTGGCTTAAAAATGGACCATTCTGGACTTTGTTATATAAAATTAAATAAAAAATACTCAAAAAAAAAAAAAATGGACCATTCTCCTTTCAGATCCATGAGACAATAGAAACTATCAACCAGCTGAAGACCCAACGAGAGTTCATGCTGAGCTTTGCCCGAGACCCTCAGGGTTTTATCAATGATTGGCTTCAGTCCCAGTGCCGGGACCTCAAGGTAAAGAGCCTAGGAAGGATCCAGAGAGAATCCAAGAGAGCAGCAAGGCTTGAAGAGCTGAGGGACCACATTCTTTTAGCACATCCCAGGGTTCATTTTACAGTTGAGAAAGGAAATCAAGGCAGAACCATCGGGCCTATAGTTAATACTTCTAAGTATTGTCACTTGACTCCAGGCTCTTGGGCTAGAGCTGAAAATGTGGTCTGTGCTCTCCCACATATGTGTTCCATTTGGAAAAAATAGGCTACTGTGGCTAAAAGAAATAGTGAACCATGGGCAAACTAACTGGGATTAGTAAGATTGTTGAGAAGAAAGAATAGTAGGTGCATGAAGACTCTCTGGGGAGAGCATGGAGAATGGAGTTGAAAATGCTTCCCAAAAAAGAGCATCATCATCGTCATCTCAGGCAGGGAGGTGTGCCCAGGCAGCAGCCAAGGGGTCTGTCTTGTGACTCCTCTGACCAATGCACTTTTAAGTAGAGGATCACCAGAAAGGACCTGCACCTGGCGGTAACTCTGTGGCAGTCTGGGCCATTGTCTTTGTCTGCTGGAGGTTTTAAAGAAGCCTGACCCAGACTTGGTAGCTTAAGCAATGGGAATTTGTGTCCCAATGGTGGAGACTGGAAGCCCAGAAGGAAAGCATCAACAGAGCTGTTCTGTGGTCTCAGCTAGCTTCTGGGAACCACAGGTATCCTTCAGTTTAGGCTTGAGACATTCTCCATATGTCTTCATTGTGTCTGTCTGTCTCTACATTTCCCTTCTTTATAAGGACACCAGTTATACTTACTGCATTAGGGCCAATCCCAATGAGCTCACCTTAACTTGACCCTATTTTCCATATCAGGTCACATTCACAGATACTGGGGAATTAGAATTTCAGCATCTTTGAGGCAGGTGGCAAGGGACACGATTCAACTGAGAGCAGATGTGGAAGCAGGAATCACATTTGTTCTCTCCTTCCCCTTCTCTCAGACTATGACTGATGTGGTGGGTAACCCAGAAGAGGAACGCCGTGCTGAGTTCTACTTCCAGCCTTGGGCTCAAGAGGCTGTGTGCCGATACTTCTACTCCAAGGTTGGTGCTGTGCCTGGGGCACCCTAGAGAGATGAGGAAGACAGGAGTCTGTACCTTCGAATGGGGGCCAGGGGTATTAGGTTTTCAACATCTCAAGCTCCACTCCTGTTTTCTCTTCAGGTGCAGCAGAGGCGGCAAGAGTTAGAACAAGCCCTGGGAATCCGGAATACATAGGGCCTCTTCCGCCCCCACTGGCTGCACCAATTCTGTTGGGGCCCTGTGCTGCCTGCCTCAATGTACCTGTGCTGGTTTTGCTTGAGGCATTCCAGGAGATGCTGTTGGTTCAAGGACAGCATCACGATGAAGAGGGTGTCACATTTCTATTTCACAGGCACCTATTGTCCTCTTCACCCCAGCCTTCCCCCTCAGCTTCTCCCCACAAAGTTCCCATGTGCCTCTACCTCCCTATCCCATCCCTGGTCTACATAGGACCTCTAGATAGTGTTAGAGAACCCATAGTGGTAATCAATGCTCTGAAATGACTGGGGCCTCTTGAGGCCAGGTGGTCTTCAGGGAGACCAGCTACACTGATCTTGCCCTTACGAGGAGACCCAGACGTTGGGAGCTGTCCCCTCCTCTGAGACTCAGGCCTAGGGCACTCTGTGAGCTAGTTGACCTTAAACCATCCTGGTGACTCACCTTCCTCCCTTCCCTCCACAGGTTGGAGCAAACTTTCCCTTTCCTCTTTGCCCTCTGGCACTAAAGGAGCCCAGGCTCTTGGGCTTCACTGAGCCCCAGGTCGGTCCCTGCTCTTTGGACTGACCTGCTGTCTCAGTGCTGTCTGACCCCTTAGTGGGTCCATGTCAGTATTGGAGTGTGTTTTGAAGTGTTGCTCTCTCCTGCACACTCCCATAACCGCCCGCCTGCCCACCCGCCCGATACATACAGGATTTCCTAACCCATGGCATTTGGGAGGGGGATCTTGCCTTTCTCTGTTAGAGCCCCAGGGACCAAAGCTGGGGTGCTGTCCTTCCCTTCCCAGTGGAGGCTGTTCCTTCCTGCTGTTGGAGGAGTGGCTTCTTCATTCACTCCATCCTGTCCCCTCCCTTAAATGGAGAAACAGGCCTAAAATCAAACGGGTATAGCCCTAGGCCATCCCTGTCTTCCTGTCCCATGTCTGCTCAGTTGAAATCCAATGGTGGTTTCTAGGGCACTGAGGAGTGAAAGCGCCTAGGGCTGGAGAATAGGTCTGAAATGGGTTTGTGACTCCCCACCCCCTGCCCTCAAAGCTTCAGACCCCTCAGGTAGCAGCAGGAAGGTGGTACCCTGACCCCTTGGAACGGCATCTTTGTATCTTTCCAGGGGAGCCTCAGGTTCTTCCAGGTTTTTCTGCCTGGAGTTAGCATATCCCAGGCTCAGCTCGCAGACAACACTGCAGGGTGGGAGACAGCTGGGCACAGGGGGATTCCGTTGAGCATGGGCTCTGAACTCACAGAACTGACAAAGCCCCTGCTTCCCCACCCCACCTCAGGCTCCTGCGAGCAGTGTTCCTGTCCCCTTTCCCTGCCTGTTCTGTACTGGGGGCAGCAGTGTTCTCCCCGTCTCCCCCTGCCCTCTACCCCTCCCTCGGAAGGTTCTCACTACAGTGACACTGGACGACCCTGGGGCAGCTGAGCCCCAGCCTGGCTCCTGGCTGGGAGCGTCATGAGGAAACTCAGCACTCCTGCAGTGTCCCTGTTGATGACTTTATTAACTGAATTGTGGGTTTTTTGTTTGCTTGTTTGTTTTTTTTTTTGTTTTGTTTTGTTTTGTTTTGTTTTTCATGGACCAAATTTTTTTTGTATTGTCTCCTTATTGATGTCACCCAGTTTTAATAAAAGACTCTTCTGAAGAGTGGGCCTGCTGCAGTGTCTGTCTGTCTGTCTGTCTGTGAGCCTACTGCAGTCTGTGGGTTTGCTGCTGTAAGACCATCTTCCCTGCCCAGTACCCTCTTATTTGACGGGCGTTTATTGAGTGCTTGATAGGTGTCATTTGTGCCAGGCTCTGAGGAAATTAGTCTCCCCTGGGGACTCTGGGGTCTTACTTTAGGGACTTGTGACCTCCATATCCAAGCAAGCTATGCTCTTGGGATAGTTGCACCCATCTCGATCCATCAAAAATAGACAAGCAGTGGCACTGCTGGCTTGTCCCTTGTCCTTGAAATCTCTAGGTCACTTGATGGCTGGAACAACCTGTCCTTGGTGTCTGTGGCCCCTTCGTGTTGATGAAACCAGTCTCTAATGTCCCCAAGGCACATGTCCATGCCGCTGTTGCCAAGGCCCTGGTGACAGCAGGGGTTTGTATTTTTCTGTACAAAACCACCAATTTACTGATCTCATACTTAAATGAGGTTCCACTCAGATACCAGGGTTTTCTTTGAGTTGTATTCTTGTGATAGGGGGCTCTCTGTATGTCACCAAGGTTGATCTTAAACTCATATTCTCCACCTGCCCCAGCCTCCCAAATGGAGATTGCAGGGCATTACAATGCCCAGGGTAAGAAGTCTGTTCTTAAACCCAGTGTGGAATGCCTACTTTATCCTTGTGTTGAGTAAGAGGACTGCCTGGAAGCTGCTCAGGAATCTTAATTCCCCTTAGAAAAAGTATGACATGCCTGAGGTTCTGCCTGCTTCCACCTGGTGGCTCACTCCTGTGCCTTTGTCTAGGAAGAGGCATGGAACAGTGAGTGCTGCTGTATTCTGAAGTCACAGTTACAAATCTTAGCCATGGATGCAGTGTAGCAGCAGCACACCCCTTTAATCCCAGCACTTGGGAGGCAGAGGCAGGAGGATCTCTATGAGAAAGGCCTGCCAAGAATATATAGGCCCTGTGTCACAAAAATAAAGTCATATCCATTAAGTAGATGGATGGAAATGTGCCTGCATTGTCTGTCTGTCCACACTCTAGAACAAACTGGTTCCTCAGAGTTGAGAAGGGGAAAAGGGGGTAAATAACTTGGGATAGAGAAATGGGATGTCAAGGGCATCGAAATGGTATCCATTCTCACCCAGGCTAATTGCATATGTAATGAGTGACTGATTGAGTCATGAATTTCAAGCAGGTACTCTACAGCTTGCTCTTGGAGAAGCTTTGGTGATGCAGACAACTTCTGTAATGAGTACCCTTGTTATTCCCGTGCAAATGGCCACATGCTTTGTTTCTTTACACTAATAGGATTGGAGGAGCAAAAAGATGGGAGTATTTAAGCAAAAACAAGGCATTCATCTCATGCATGAATGCCCATTCTTTAGGCTTCCTATCATATGTGCCAGGGACAGGAACATCCTTTCTCTTCTACCACTCATAATCAGGCTCCCAGCTGGCAGCCTGGCACTGGTGCCTTCATCTCAGTGCCAGGGTGATAAAGGAGTGGTCTGTGGGAGGCTAGTTCTGCATTAGAGGAAAGTTAGATGAAAAGCAACTGATTCATGTTTGTTCTCATTATAGGGGCTGCCTGGCTCTGATAATATGGTGGGCTTTTTCTGTGGAATCTCCGGGCTGAGAAAAGACATGCTTCCAGTCTTGACCTCCTACCCACTTATTCTTACCACTGGTTACACCAAATCTCCCCTCTAACCTAGTGCTGATTACTGTTACTGGCCAGTGGCAGCCTGGGGGATAGCAACATGAGTGCTTACTGGTTTGCCAAGCCAGGAGGTCTGAGCATGAACATACAGTGGTGTTTGCCCTGTGGGTCAAGGTGCAGCACTGGAGGGTGAGGAGCCTGCCCTGCTTTCCAGAGTGGCTTGGAAACCCAAGCTCCTCCCCTTAGTCAAACAGATGGCCATGGATGTCACAGAGCCCAAACTGCTGGATGTGGGCTGACACCCCACCCCCAGAGTCACCCGTGGGCATCAGAGACCACAGAACTCCAAGAGACGCAGCCCCCCCTGAGTGTTAGACAGCGCTGCTCTAAGCCTGACTTCTCTTCACCTTTCTGGTCTCTGTAAACCAGCTATTTAGTTTAAGGGTCCCAGTGGGATAGGCAGAACCAGAGAGAGAGGAAAGTGAAGGCATCAGCAAACTTCTCTGGGACAGTGCATGTGCTGGCCACCACCTCTCTGCCCTTCCTGAAGCCTGAAAGAATTGTGGGCTACGTGGCAACAGAGGCCTACCTTTGACCTTCCTTGCCTTCCCTTTATAGACCTTCAAATGGGAAGTATCTGAGGTGAAGGGACTCATTGGGAGTTTCTGATATGAACTAAGATGACCTTGTTCTTTTTGGTTTTTCAAGACAGGGTTTCTTTGTGTAGCCCTGGCTGTCATGGAACTATATAGACCAGGCTGGCCTTGAATTCACATAAATCCACATGCCTCTGTCTCCCAAACACTCCCAACTTCTCCTGGGATATCTTATCCTTGGTCTGAGGATACCTCAAAGCAGTCTCTTACCTTGTAGTGGTATTCCCCCTAGAAGTGGGCTCACATTTCTTGACCCCATTACCCAGAGCCTGGGGGGGGGGTTACCACCATAAGAATGAATGTGTGAGAACAAAGTTGGAGCAGCTGAGGATGCGGGGGAGGTGTGTGCTAGCGTGCAATGAAGAGCCTGCCTTTGAAAACATCCCCCCACTTGTCACTAATGCTAGTTCCTTTCTTCCTTTTTTTTTTTTCTTTTTCCTTCCTTTCTTTTTTTGAGACAGGATCTCACTTTGTAGACCAGGTTGAACTTGAACTCTGCCTCCCAAACACTGGGATTAAAGACATGCACCACTATGCCCAACCCCTGCTAGTTGCAATTTATTTCAGTGTTGGGGACCGAGGGAATAGCGGGGAACTGGTTCTTGGCCAGCCTCAAGATGAGTAGGTGGGAAACTAAAGCCGAGGCCAAGAGAACAAACTGGCCAGCACTATCCGCTGCAAACTCGAGAGGAAAAGCTGGTCTGGCCTCTGCCCCATTCCTGTTCCCCACCTGTCTCTACCCTTTACTCGCCTTTCTCTGGGCCAGACTCCCTATGCCTAGGCGCCAGCCTCTGGGCCACCTCAGAGGCGGGGCTTGGCTGCACCCACGTGTGGTGGAGTTAAATACTCAGAACCCACACCCGCTAGGGCAGAGAAGCTAGAAGCGACACCATGGCTGGCAGGAAAGTCTGCATTGTCGGCTCCGGGAACTGGTAAGCAGTTCTGTGAAGGGCATGGGTGAAGGGCAGGCCTGCCAAGGGCAGAGGGGCTCCCCAAAGGGCGTCTGGGTGGCGGGAAGCAGGCAGAGAGTAGGAAATGCCCCTGCCCCGGAGCCTGCTGGACTCCTGGGGCTATCTCCAGTGCCTTCTGCGCACAGGACACACTGTGCCCAGCCTTCCCTCGCTGTGCCTGCCTGGGCAGCCGCACCTGTTCGCCATAAGCAAAAGGTGAGCAGAGTGCTCTGTTCCCTTCCCTGCCTGAAAAGCTGCTACGGTTTGGGGTGGGGTCAGAAAGTTGGCCCACCTCCCCAAAAACAAATATTAGGGTAGATTGAACCTCCTCTCTATTGCCAGTCCCGGCAGGCACGTTTTTCGTAGGAGATGGGGGAGGGGGGGAGGTAGGGTGGTGGTGGTGACATGAGAGATAGGACGTAAAAATCCAACAAGCTTTTTAAGGTCCTACCCAGGAGGCTGTGTCCTCCCTTCCCCCCTCTCTACTTTTCTGTGTTTCCCCTCCCAACAGGGGCTCAGCCATTGCCAAGATCGTGGGTAGCAATGCAGCTCGGCTGGCACACTTTGACCCACGGGTGACCATGTGGGTGTTTGAGGAAGATATCGGGGGCAGAAAGCTAACTGAGATCATCAACACGCAGCACGAGAATGTTAAATATCTGCCAGGGCATAAGCTGCCCCCCAATGTGGTGAGTCCCAACTCACTGTGAGGGGTGTGCAATAGTTAACACTCGAATCTGACGCTGAGGTGTCTCCTTAGAGGAGGCTACTTAGGTGCCAGCAGGCCTGGGGGAGTGTCTCAGGTGGGATGCTCCAGACCTGTAGTACCCTCAGGCGTTCAGTCCCTAAATTGCTCCTTTGGGCTCTTTTTGGAATCTGAATGTACCACCCCTTATAGATGCTTAGCTGGGAAAAGGAGGGGACAGGGAGAAGTTGGTCTCCGTGGCAACCAAAGGCTGGTTCTCAGGCTCCTAGACTTGTGTCCAGTCTCTCATGCCTGCTCTGAACTCTACTCTTGTTACTCATTCACTGGTTATTAGCAGATTTGAAGGCTGATCATTGGACTTTTGGTCTTTGGTCAAATCCATATGGTACTCTCCTTGCTTAGAAGAAGGGGAGCAGGGAATAGGCAGAAAGATCTGGGTTCTCCCTGCCAAGTTAGGGCCCCTAAGAAGCAGTGATGAAATCTGACTTGGCCTCTTCCTCCTGCCAAGCCTAGGCTGCTTTTGGCAGCCTTCACTGACCCATAGCCAAGGGCCAAGAGTGTGTCTGTAGTGAGGAGTGCTCCAGGAGGCCCCAAGTACCCAGGGGAGCTGTAGTGAAAGAGGCAGGACAGCTGGGGACAGAATACAAGAAGTTCTGATCAGTTCAATCTCAAATGCCCCCCTCCCACAACACCACTCTGGCTTGAAGACATTCTGAATAGAGTCCCCTAGGGACTAGGAGAGGTCTGCCAGGCACATGAGCATCTGGTTTCCCCACAGGTGGCTGTCCCAGATGTTGTCCAGGCTGCAGCAGGTGCCGACATCCTCATTTTTGTGGTGCCCCATCAGTTCATAGGCAAGATCTGTGACCAGCTCAAGGGCCACTTGAAGGCCAATACTATTGGCATATCTCTTATTAAGGTACCAAGGACCCCTTTGTGGGGTTGGGGTGCAGAAAGAATACAGAGATGGGAAGGACTGGCTTTGGAGAGAGCTAAGAAAGCATTTGGGGCTGTGAGTGTGGCTTAGTAGTGAAGAATTTACCTAGCATGTCTGAAATCCTGGGTTCAATCCCCAGCACAAGTAAAGGGAGGAAGGGAGGAAGGAGAGAAGAAAGAGAAGAGGCAATTGCTGGGTTGCCTGAGGAAGACTGCACAGTTATGGAGACAAATGTGCTAGAACAGTTTAGGAGGCATGAAAGCTGAGGAAGATGAGAGCGGGCTGGCTCAGGAGATGATGAGACAGCTAGTTTGGAGCAGTCCTTGAGCTGGAAGTGGGTTGGGGTGTCTAGCGAGTTCTTTGGGGATGTGAGGAATACACTACCTTGGAGAGGAAGGTTGATTGAGAGTGTGTGTGGGGAGTCTGATGAGGCTGGTTGGTCACTGCTGTCTACTGTCCTCATAGCAAGTCTGGACTGGGTGGTATTGGGGCAGGACCACTGGAGAGGGACACAGATAAACAATGAGCTTGGAAGAGGCAACTCTTGGGAGAGAAGCCCTCAGCTGGGTGTAAAGGACAGTTGGCCTGAGCCCCATCCTTTGCCTAGGGGGTAGACGAGGGCCCCAATGGGCTGAAGCTCATCTCTGAAGTGATTGGGGAACGCCTTGGCATCCCCATGAGCGTGCTGATGGGGGCCAACATTGCCAGTGAGGTGGCTGATGAGAAGTTCTGTGAAACAACCATTGGTGAGAGGCCCTGCACACACCATGGAGCTCTACCTGCTTCCCAAGCCCCCTAGCTAATCCCACAGGGCAGAGAAAGAAGAAAGCATCAGAACTAGGGGAGAGGGTGGGACACCCCAGGGAAGGGGCTGTGTGGCTTGCTCTAACTGGTGTGTGAGGGACAGCCCAGTTTCCCTTTGCTGAGTACTTGTTCAGTGGTGTGTACAGGCTACTCATGAGACTGAAGCAGGAGGATTGCTTGAGCCCAGGAGTTCCAGGCCAGCCTGGGCAACACAGCAAGAACCCACCCTAAAGATAAAAATAAAAAGTTGTCCTTCACCGGGGGTTGGTGGTGCACACCTTTAGTCCCAGCACTTGGGAGGCAGAGGCAGGTGACTCTTTGTGAGTTCGAGGCTAGCCTGGTCTACAGAGCTAGTTCCAGGACAGGCTCCAAAGCAATCAGAGAAACCCTGTCTCAAAAAAAAAATGTTGTTCTTCAAAGCCTTACCCTTCTCCACTCTAGGCTGCAAGGACTCTGCCCAGGGGCAGCTCCTGAAGGAGTTGTTGCAGACACCCAACTTTCGCATCACTGTGGTACAAGAGGTGGACACAGTGGAGATCTGTGGGGCCTTGAAGGTGAGAGGGTACAGAGGCAGCTTTGAAGTGGGGAGCAGTCCACAGAGGACCCAGCTTAACTCTTGGGCTTGGTCAATATTTCCATTTCCACATCACATCTTCCCTCACACACAGAAGACCCTTCAGCAAGGCCAGGGTAACCGGGCCTACTGATTCTTATCCATCCAGCCGTGGGTTCTTCTTCCAGTCTCCTTAGCGCTACTTTGAGACATACTCAGCCCTGGGTCTATGTGATGGTCCAAGTCGAAGAGATGTCCAGGTTAATGGGAGACAAGATTTTCAGGGTACCCAAAAAGTTGATGGCCAGAACTGTGGTGGCATGTACCTTTAATCCCAGCACTTGGGAAAGGCAGGCAAATATCTGCGAGTTTGAGGACATTCAGGGATCCATAGTGAGACACTGTCTAAAAAGAAAAGAAAAGGGGGCTGGAGAGATTGCTCAGTGGTTAAGAGTGCTGACTGCTCTTCCAGAGGACCAGGGTTCAATTTCCAGCACCCACATGGCAGCCCACAACTTTCTACAACTCCAAGATTTGACACCCTCACACAGACATACTTGCCAGCAAAAACACCAATGCAAACACAGATAAATAAATTTTTTAAAAAAAAAAAAAAAACAAGGCTGGTGGTGGTTGTGAACACCTTTGATCTCAGCACTCAGGAGGCAGTGGAAGGAGGATCTCTGTGAGTTTGAGTCCAGCCTGGTCTACAGAGTGAGTTCCAAGATAGCTAGGGCTACACAGAGAAACCCTGTCGCACAATACACATGCACACACACACACACACACACACACGCACGCACGCACGCACGCACGCACGCACAAACAAAACAAAACAAAAAGAGTGGTTCCCCAGAAAATGTCAAAGTCAAATAAGAGCTAGAAACTAAGAAAAGGTGCCAGGCAGTGGTGGTGTACTCCTTCAATGCCAGCACTCCAGAGGTAGAGGAAGGTGGATTTCTGAGTTCAAGGCCATCCTGATAAAAAAGGAAAGGAAAGGAAAAAGCATGTAGGGCTGGGGCAATGGTTCTGTTGGTAAAGCGTTTATCATATAAGGATGAAGACTAAGTTTGATTCCCCCAAACCTATGTTTAAAAGCCAGGTTCAGTGGTACACTTGTAATTCCAACAGTGAAGAAGCAGAGGTAGGAGGTTGCTGGGGCCTGCTGGTTAGCCAGTCAAGTCAACCTGTGAACTTCAGGTCTCAAAAACAAGGCTGTCTGGGCATGGTGAAGCACACCCTTCAATCCCAGGAGGCAGAGGCAGGTGGATCTCTGTGAGTTTGAGGCCATCCTGGTCTACAGAGTGAGTTCTTGGCCTGCTAAAGTTCATGGTGTGCTCTTGTCTGGCAAAATAATAATAATAAAGGTGGAAAATGATTGAGGAAAACAATGTCAATCTTTGGCTTCTACACACATAGACACCCAGATATATCAGAGTATGTGCACACAGACACACACACAGAGACTCATACACACACACACACACACACACACACAGAGAGAGAGAGAGAGAGAGAGAGAGAGAGAGAGAGAGAGAGAGAGAGAGAGAGAGAGGAAAAGGCATGTTTTCTTTCAATGGGAAATCAGAGGCTGAGGACACAGTTTAGGAGGCCACATCATACTTCATTTAGTAGGTGTGTCATGGCTGATATGATAGCAAAGGGAGTCACTGGAGAGGAAACTTTCTCACCTGTGACCTCTGTCCCTCAAAGAATATAGTGGCCGTTGGGGCTGGCTTCTGTGATGGACTTGGCTTTGGTGACAATACCAAGGCAGCAGTGATCCGCCTGGGGCTCATGGAGATGATAGCCTTTGCCAAGCTCTTCTGCAGTGGCTCTGTGTCCTCTGCCACCTTCCTGGAGAGCTGTGGCGTCGCTGATCTTATCACTACCTGCTATGGAGGGCGGAACCGCAAGGTGGCAGAGGCCTTCGCTCGCACTGGAAAGGTAGGCATGCAGGCGTCAAGGCGGGGGGTGGGGGGTGGGGTGTGATCAGCAGGGAGGTGGCTGTGCAGGGTGGCACCTGGGAGGCTGAGGCAGGAGAATGATACCCACAAGGCTATGCAGTCAAGCAAACAAAAACAGACATGGCTTGGAATGCTGCTCAGTGGTAAAGCAAGCACTTACTACACAGAGTCTGCTTGAGGTCCTGGGTTCAATCACTGGGAAGAGGTGCTTGTTTTGAACATTCCCACACCCCTCCCCACAAGATCCCAATTCCCATCTGACCACCAGATCTTCCTGCTCGGGCAACCTTGCCCACTTCCATCCACATGTCATTTTCTTCACAGTCCATTGAGCAGCTGGAGAAAGAGATGCTGAATGGACAGAAGCTGCAGGGGCCCCAAACAGCCCGGGAGCTCCACAGCATCCTCCAACATAAGGGCCTTGTGGACAAGTGAGTGTTTGCCACAGCCCCTGGGGCGGGAGCCTGAAGCTGATTGCCACCCCTCTTTCCCATCTTCTTGAACCCCACACAACCTGTAGGATGGACAGAGAGAGCTTGGAGACTGGGCTTCAGTCAGCTCACCCTTTTGGAGAGCATTCTGTGTCATGACCTGTACACTAGCTGTGTGGACCCTTCTGTGCAGCCTCCCCTTTCTGTCCTTTCCTCCTTGCCCTAGACCATTTCTGTCATCCCCTGCCCTCCCCCCACCTCTTGACGCCTGTCCTGGGTGCTGAAGAGGATGGGCTCTGCCTCAGAGTGCTCCTTTCCAGGAATCACAGAGGGAATCCCAGATGAAGAGGGTGTGGGTACAGGTTCAGAAGAACAGCTCTTGGCTTTAGTACAGGGAATAGACACTTGAGGATGACAAGAACTGGCACAGTATAGGCCACATAAAATATAAATGACTACATCTTTGCTACTTTATCATACTGGACCCATTTTACAGCCAATGACACTGAGGTCCAGAGAGTTAAATGAGTTACTCAGTCAGAAACAGAAATCTCTTAAGCCTGGGACTCAGATAAGCAAGCACAGTATGGTAAGGATGAGGGCAGACAGCACCCCAAATCCTATGGCTAGGAATTCAGATTCTTTGCAGGTGGCAGCTGGGAGCTGGCATCTGTCTGAACTCCTGAGGCTGGAGGCTAGGGAAGTGGTGGTTAGCCCTTGCATCTGGACAGGGTGGGTACGGGTGTTAGAGGGTGGTTGAAAGGAGAGGACTAAGCAGAGCCTCCTTCTCACTCTAGGTTTCCCTTGTTCACTGCTGTGTACAAAGTGTGCTACGAGGGCCAGCCAGTGGGTGAATTCATTTGCTGCCTGCAGAACCACCCAGAACACATGTGAGTGGGGCCAGGGGCCAGGACAGGCAGCTCCTTTGCCCCAACTGAGACCAGCAGAAGCTGTGACGCCTGTCATCGGAATGCTCTCCAGGACTCCCCAGCCAGCAGGGTCCTCACTGAAGGACACTGAGGATGGGAGGCTATGGAGCTCAGCTACACACCTGGAGATACAGAATTGCTGCCGAGCCTGCAAATCTGCACTTCCTCACTGGCCTCTGGGAAGTCTAGAATCAAGCTCCAGTGCTGTCTGCTCCAGGGGTGGGGTGGGGGGGAGGAAGGGGCCAGGTCAAGGGCTGCAGGTTGCTGCCTCACCACCCTGGGAATCTGTCCCAAGCCCCATTAAATGACAGAAAGGCAAAGGCTGCCAAGGGAAGGGTCTGGACACCTGAGCTGACACAGATGCCAGTGGCTGACCTCTGCTAGGCCCCACGCACATCAGTGATCTCAGTGTTTGTTAGCAAAATACAAAGGCCTCAAACAACTCCCTTCTCACTTCTCCTAGCAACAATTGCGTCCTCAGAAGCCTCTGCTCATTTTGTTCCCCTCCCCCCCAGGCTACTCTGGCACGAGAATTGCTCCACACTGGCATCTCTGGCCCCTGGGGGCTTGCCATGCTTCCCAATGACTTCCTGGTTCCTAGAGCTTTGCCAGCGCCTCCCCACCCGGTGTGACCTTTCCAGGCTTTTCCTTGCCTGCACCCAGCCGCCAGCACACTCTTTGGGGAGCAGGAACTTAATCTGCTGACTGAGCTACACTTTTTCATAGCAGGCTCAGATCACCCAGGCTCCTCTGACCTTCTTATTTGTCCCTCCTCCTCCCTCCCTAGTCAGTAGCTCCAGGCTGGCCAACCACTCCTCCAGCTGACACTTTTAAAAAGGCATCGCACTCCCATCTCTCTCCTCCCCACAAGGCCACTTCTCTTTGGGATCATCACCACCTTCTTGTCTAACAGAACACACAGTAGGGTTAGGCTTTGCCTCATGAGCTCCTGCATCCCTTATGCTTGACTCTACCCTTTCCTCTTGGCCAACCCAATACCTCTTTCAGCTGTTTTCAGACAGCCAGGAGTGCTAGCCAGTATCTGGAGGCTTGGGGCCAAGTAGGAACTCAATGGTTCAGTAGGTTTCCACAGTGAACTCTCAAGAGTTCAATGCCAGCTCTCTTTGGAATGAGGTCCCAGTGAAGCACTAACCACACACATCAGGAGTTGGGACAGCTACGGGAGGGACCATTGGGAACAGCTTGCCTCGGGCTGAGGGACGAACAGAAGGGGGATGGGAAGTCCTGGCCTTTTTCCAAGGTTGGGGCAGCAGGAAAATGTCACAGATCAGCAGCCTGGAGCCCTAGCTATAAATAGTCCCTGAGAGTTGAGAGCTTTCTCCCTCCAGCAGGGGTCTCCATTTCGTGTGTGGCAGCAACTGGCAGCTGGTGGCCCTGGCCAGCTTTATGTTTAACCCACTAAGGTGCCAGGCTCCTCTCTGCTCCCAGCCTTTAAGAATTCGGTCTTACCAATGAAGGTCGGGAAAGGTGAACAGGGGGAGCCCTTTCATCCATCCTGGCTGGGCCGGAACCCTCCCACGCATTGACTGAATTCAGAGCTGCCTCCTAGGAGGTTGGGTTAGGATGCAGACACAGATTCCAACACTTTTACTCTGCTCAGTCAGAGTGAACCTGAGGCCTTCTGTCAGGCCACTTCTTCACCCAATAAAGTATGGTTTTTTTTTCCAGAAATTGGAAGAGTTGGCGGGGATTTTGCGGCGGTGCAGGTGGCAGGGTGCGGGGTCATGTATCACTGCATGCATGTTTTACTCAATGTAAGACAAGTGAAAAAAGTGTCGTTCTTGGATAGCAGCAGCCACACCCCGACATCAATCAGCAAACGAGCAATGACATCCACTCTCCCCCTCCTCTCTCGCGTCGCCCCCGCTTGAGCGGGTGCCTCCTATTCCCTCCTCCACCCAAGCTGTCACCCAGTCTCCCCCCCCCCCCCGCGCTTCTTCGAGTTCATGCCGCCTGCACACGAGGAGGTCTCGCACAAGGCAGAAACACTAGCGAGGCACCCTTTCATGCTGTGGCCTCATAGTGCAGGTTCTGTACCTACCTGAGGTCGGCCACAACCGGATCACCCAGTAAAGGGCCGCTCCAAGCCCTAGGGGGCCTGCGGTCCTTCGCTAGAGGAATCCGAGAGAATCACCCTAGCTACAGTTTACGTCGCTGCACCATAACTGGTTTTGAGCTAAAAATTTCCCTATTTTCCAAGTTTGGGGCACCAATAAAAATAAATAAATAAATAAATGGATGAATAGATAGATAAATAAATAAATAAATAAATAAATAAATAAATAAAGGTCTTGTTGGAGCAGAACCACAATCCCCAGAATTCACTGGGCTTTCCGGAAAGGAAGACTAGTATGAGCGTCCGAAGCTAAGAAGAGACAGGCGGAAACCGGAAGTTCTGAGCCGGCTCCTGCCCTAGTAAGCGGGTTTCCACAGGGGTGCCGGGGTCACGGCCAGAGCACCGCACCACAGACTGAGGTGGCTGCGTGGTTTCTGCGGTGCGACTCTGGCTACAGGTGCAGACTGAGTAGGGATCGTTCTGACGCGGCCGAGCTGCAGCATCCAGGTAGGTCGCGGACTGGGCGGCCCTGCTCGCTTGCTCCCCGGCTCCTCCGCTAGTCTTCGGCCTGTGCCCTTGGGAGCGCGCGGCTCCCGCGTTCGCTGCGCTCGCTTCTGCCGGGCAGGGTGACCGCGACCGACGGGTACCCTGACTGCCTTCGCTCCACTGCCTTCATGGCGTGACTGTGGCCCGACTGCCCTTCCTCTTGTAAATCTGCCGGTTCCTGTAAATGCAGCCCAACCCCACAGCCTTCCGCCAGCTTCTCACGATCTCACAATCTCTGCGGTCTTCGCCACCTTGTGCTTATCCGACAGACTACGGGGTCCATAGCATACCTTTTCAGCTCCGTTAGTCAGGATCTGTTTTCTCCAGACTCCACAGTTACCTCCTAAGAGGTCTAAGTGACCGAACCTCAGCTAGGGTGATTTTTTTTTAGGGCTGAGGTTTTTATGGGTGTGTTTGATTCATTGAGCATCGGATCAAACCCAGAACTAGAGCGAGAGGCCTGTCATGTGGAGCTCTGGATTTTCCAGAAACGTGAGTCTTGAACTCTCTGACGTTAGAGGGCAGAAAATTGTAGAGTCACATAACCCTTGCAGATTGCACCTCTATGGCATGTATCATGATTATTCTTCCAGTAACCTGCAGTACATCCCTACATTTCCTAACAACTTTTGGAAGAAAAAAAAAAGCCCTTGGAAGAAAACAAAAGCCCATCAGGTGAAAACGTTGTACCGGCCCCCAATGTTTCTTTTATTTCCAAAGTTGATCCTTGTACCTGCGCCCATAATTTCAGTTTTTCTGAGTCTATCCTGGATTTGCTTCTGTTTGTATCAACCTCCACCCCCCCCCCCTTTTTTTTTTTTTTGGACAGGGTCTCTTGTAGCCCATACTGACCTGGGATTCATTAAGTAGCTAAGGATGATCTTGAATTTAGGATCTTCCTGCCTCCACATCCTCAGTGCTGGGATTCCACGTTTAATGCGGTGCTGGGGATTGAACCTCTGGCTCTGTGCATGCTAGACAAGTACTCCACCAACTGAGCTACATCCCATTCTAGAACACACTCAGACCTTGTTTGTTATCGACAAGGTGGAACTAATATGTCAGCATGTGGGGTAACTGGGGTACCCATGATTCCAGCAAGACTGTCTCAAAAAAGCCTGGACGCCTAGAATTTTCTTGATCTTGTTACCTTCCCATTCTCTTAACCCCACCATCTAAGTTCTAAGAATTTTAATTCTTATCTTTGAGGTGTGGAAGCTGTGATCCTTTTAGTGATCTGTTTTTCTCTGACCTGGAAGAATGCTAGCTAGACACAGTCTTGAGGGGCTTAAAGCCTGCTGGAGCTTTGTGTTTTCTACCTGTTGCCTAGAGTCCCTCTCTTAGTTCACTGCACCAACTTGACTTTAACCCTTGACCCAGCTAGAGACAGTCTACTGTTTACCAAGTGGTCCTAACTGACTGTCCCCTGAGGTCAGAGCCTGTGCCCTGCCAGCCCTAATAAGTCTCAGTAAACCAATTGTGAAAGCCAGATTAATAGTGGAAAATAGAAAAGGGAGATTTATTTAGCATGAGTACACTGGGAGGAAGATCCACCCCCCTCTCCACATCCTTGAGTTATCTTCAGGTCCTAACGTGAGGGTAGAATTTGACTACCACAATTAAGTAGTCTGATTAAATTATGGTTCTGAGGCTGTTAATAGTGCTTGCTGTTCTTCCAGAGGACCCAGGTTTGATTCCCAGCACACAGTCTGGGTGCCTGGGTGGGTTAATCACTTTTTCATGCATTCAGATGCACCTGCTCCCAGCCTTCCGTGTACCTCATGTGCAGGCATTCTTCACCTTTTGGGTCAGAGAGCTCCACATGGGATCACCAGCATAGGGTTTGTCAACGAAGTGAAGAAGTAGATGATAAAGAATGGCTCTAAGTAGGGAGACAGACGAGGCCTTTCCTGGAGACCAACTCAAATCTGTTTTTGTAGGACAAGACATGCCAACTGCCAAGCAGCTAGCTGACATTGGCTACAAGACCTTCTCTGCTTCCATGATGCTGCTCACTGTGTATGGGGGTTACCTCTGTAGCGTCCGAGCCTACCGTTATTTCCAGCTGCGCAGTGCCAGGCGCCAGGCTGCAGAAGAACAGAAGACCTCGGGAGTCCTGTAGAGCTCAGCCTTTCCTTCCTGAGCAGCGAGACTTGAGGCATGCAATGGAAAGACCTCCCCTGCACATCATCCATGGCAAGGACTGGGGCCACAATGGCTTTCAAACCTGCTGGGCTAAAGTGCCGTGGTTTCTGTGGTCCTACCAGCCAGTGTCATTTTGACAATTTGTGGAGGCTATCAGATAAACAGGAATGTGAGGGTGCATTTATTACAGAGATTAAATAGTTTCTCTTGTTCTTGTGTCTTAGTGGGGTTTGTGTGTGTGTGTGTGTGTGTGTGTGTGTGTGTAGCAT